ATAAAATATTAAACTTTAGACATCTGGTGTTATGACATAAATTTCCACCTGTCTTTTTTCAGTCTCAATTCACTACTAACCCCCACCCTCCATATTTTTTATTTTACCACATAGGAACTTCACATTCTTTAGTCAGCCACTATAAGAATTACACACACATCCCAAACTTCTTCTGATGCTTCCATTTTCTGTTAGGACTCTTCAGAATTCTGTAGCTGGGATTTTAACAATAATGACCTTGTTTTATTGAATCCAAACCTTCAAGTTTTAAGCTTCATAGAGTATACTATCATTCTGACACCTGATGACTTATTCTCTGCCTTTCTCCCTGGATCTCCTGCAAGTGAGGTTTGGATTCTGCAAGGTATGCATTCAGATCATATTTTTTGGTTCCATAGCCAAGGAATTCATGCCTCTGGTTTCTTCCAAAGTACTTTTAACATTACTCTTCCACATACAAGTCCTCAAGAAGGTACACCATTTCAAACTTTTGAGAACCCTTTTTACTATAAGATGGTGGCCAGACAGACAACACTGCAACTTCATTCTGCCCAGCTAAGAAATAAGAAGGTAGCTCCAAATTTAGATTTTTATCTATTAAATATCAGCACAATAAAAGACAGGCTTGCTGTGTAAAATTACTGTGACCCTCTCAGCCTGGTTTTGAATGGGCAATTTCAGATATTCACCACTTCATCATTATCAACAAGATCTGGCTATATATTTGTGACCTAAAGTAAGAAGTTTCCTCCCCATCATAGAACAGCAATTCAACTCCATGCTCACACAGAGTGCATTAGGAACCACAGCAACCTGACCACTCCCTTCACTCAGAACAAATCAAAAACATTCCCACCAAAAATTAATAAAATGGGGCTGTTTACACCAAAGAGTGCTTCCCTCACATATCTGAAACAATATGCTTCACCACAGATCGGTTCACAAAGTCTCTAATTCATGGCTTAGTGTAAAATTCTTCACAGCATGGGTTTGCCCAGTCTTAATGCTTTGGGAAATAAATTTGTATAGCAGTCCTGTCACACAGAGCTCCAATTAACCATTTTTAAAATCTCATTTGTTCTGTGCACCAAAACTCATACTCCTGTCATTCTCCTGCCACTAGGCGTCACTCTCTTCTATCGTGATCTTTAGCCCTCATTCCATTTCCCACCATTTCACCCAGGAACGATCAAACCAATATTTTAAGTGGGAGAACATCTATCACCATTAGACCCTATCTAAAGAGCAACCCAGTTTCTCAGGTCAAGGAAAGATTTTTGTGATGCAACAGATAAAGTGCAAAGGATTGTTAGTGTGGCTTGGTATGTTCTTTAAAGTTAAATAAAAATACTAAAACAACCAAACTCCCACAGGAGGTGATAGGGGCTTTCCTCCATAGAGGAGTCACCTCCACTTCTGAAACCATCTGAAACTAAGTGCATTCCCAAAAATAGGAGGTCCCATAACAGAATCACTAGTGAAACTAATTGCATGACCCTTTACATGGGACCTATAAACAAAATAATTTTACTAATCAAGCAGCATTTTTTTCAAGGATGACACAGAGTCACCTTCTGATGTTGCCACTTGTGTTTAATTGATTTAAAGTCCAGAAGGGGCCACTATGATTACCTACCAAACCACTCATATGGCAAGTGTGTGGATATCCACATGCATGGTTTTGATGGATATAAACTCCTCTCATACTGAGGGCAAACTGAAAACTACAACTTTGACAGCAAACACTCAAACAACTATTTTCCTTTTTCCTTAGGAGCGCTTAAAAGAAAAAAAGAAAAAAAAATAATACCCAAAAAACCCCAAACCCACAAACCAGCCAATGACAAAACCCAAACATAGGCCATGACTACCACTGACTAGTTCTGTGACTTGGAATGATTCACAGGAATTGGGTACCCATGCATACCTAACTTGGATCATAATTGATCTTAATAAACAATTTAACGTAATTTTAAGTATCTCTACCATATGTGAAATAGCATTCAAGTTAAACTTGATTCGAGCCGAGCTTAATAGATGACTTACTGTAAAGCCACTTTGAAGCATTAGGAAAAAAAACCATGCCATTAGGGAGCACATCACTACTAAATTATGAAATACTGTCCAAGCCAACAAACTGTTGGTGTAATTCATGACGAGGGTTGAAGTTCTCATATGTATACACATAAGAAATCCAAACAATCAACACTTGTGATGCACATAGAGTGCTACCAGCAAGGAGTCACTGCATCAATGAGCTTCTTGCAAAATCTTCTAGTACACATGCAAAGAATGACTTTGCATTGTATTCCTCTGCTACCCTGCTGGGATATTGTTGTTTCAGTGCTATATCCTCTTCTTTTCATGTGTTTCACCATTTAATTTTCCATTTTCCACTGCTTTATTTTCAAAGTTCCAGTCAGTTGGGCTGAGGAGTTGTTGAGTTTTTTTGTATGTCCAGTAGGGGTTAAGTATTAGCGTAACAGCAAATAGTCCCGAGAATAAAACAATAAAGTGAAGAAGTCCCAGATTTTCTACAATAGAATTCCAATTGAAAATACACACCCACCACATGTGGTAGGTAAGAATCATGCGGCAGTGAAACAGGTGGATCATCACCCACTGGTTTGCCTTCCAGAAAAACGTGTTAGCATGGCCAGCCTAGAAAAATAAGAACACAAAGTATGCAAAGTGAGATTGTTACTTCAAGATAAGGAACTGAGGAATCTGTAGAACTAATATAAATATCCAGCTTTCATATACACACACTCTCAGGCACTTTTTCCTCAAAGTGCAATGCTACTCCACACACACACACACACACACACACATATATATATATACACATATATATATATACATATATATATATATATGGAATCTTAAACTTGGTATGGATCTATACCATCCCTCTGTGCACATGCACACAGCATCGCACAAACCTACATGGAGGCCTACACAAGTGCCATCATGACAAAAGCATGACAATAACACAGGTTGGATAAATGCAGTTTTGATGAAAAACTATTCAAACAAACCACACAGATTATCTACAGACAAGTGAAACGCATGAAAACTGTTAAAAATATAATCTGAAAATTTTCACATTCTTACCTTCAGAAGCATCCAGGAAATGCATGTTGAGGGAGTACTCATCTCCAGCAACATTCCCATCAAAGGCAGATAATGTCCAGATTTCACATTAATTACTAAACCAGCCAAACCACCGAAAGCAAGCAAATGATGAACTACTAAGAAACCATCAAATGTTCTAAAAATAATGTTGGACACATGAACTGCTACATTTTCAAGCAAGAAAAATCCAGCTGCTATTAAACAGTTAAACCAACTCCACTTTTGCTGTGAATAGACTTTGTCAGCATGAAAAACAGGATCTATGAGCAAAGCCCATAACCCAGCAACACAACTCTGAAGTCCAAAGACACCACGTGTGACTGCCATATTCCAAAACACCTTCTCTTTTGCATACAGAGCACGGTAGGTGGTACTTCTCCAAGAAGACAACCAGTGAGACAGAAGAAATACTCCCAAGTAGATTAAAAAACCAGCAGCTAAAAATGTCAAACGAATTTCCCATAAGAGATAGTCCCAGTCAAAAAGAGTCCCAAACACTGGATCATCATTTGGAGGATTCATTTCTTCTCTTTTGATACTTCTCATCCTCACTACAGTGTCCTTCATGCCTATTTAGCCTCTGCTATTCTGCAAACCAGTAAGCATGAATTCTTCCATCTGGAACAAGGATAAAAAAATTTAGTGAATTTTTAAGTACATCCATATATATAGACTCAGAACCATAGAGGGCTCACATCCACTGCAGTTATGACCTTGGTCCTGTTGCCATTAGGCAAAGTCATCCCAAAGACAGGTAAAAAGACAAAAAAAAAAAAAAACCCATAAGATTTATGACTGGCCTATGAAGTCCCTACTAGTACAAAGTAATGCACTGAAGCAAAAGCAGAAGAGGGTCAAGTAGGAATGCAAGAAAGAGGAAGAGAAAATACAATAGGGAAACCCTGTTTTGTTACTTACGAAACTTTTATTTCAACAGCATTGCACAGCTATTGTCCTACTCCTCTGCTTTTCCTGCACTGATTTTACAGCATTTGCTACAGCTTTGGGTGCAATTCAGAATCTCAAATACAGATCCAGAACATAAAACTAGACAAAACTAATGCAGTAATGGGGACCACTTACACCAAAAAGGGGCTGTAATGATCATAGCTCAAGACTCTGCAATCAGTTTCTGAACATTAAGCCGCTTTCCAGAAAGAAAAAAAAAAACAAACTCAAAAATGGAAAAAGAGTATGGAATGTAGACCAGCAACATTATTATATATTATTAGTAACATCAGTGTAATTAGCTGAACAGCCCAACATTAAGTGCCTCAAGTTGTCTGAAACTTCCTGAACACACCGTAGTTCAAAAACAAAGGTTTGTGGGGAGGGAAAAGTCAGATAATACTGAAATATTTGAACTCCAGCTCGTTTTATGAACCATACAGGTGATATGAGCACGACCACCAGATCCGCCGCAACCTGCGAGTGCTGACCACCATTGTGCGTCTGGGAGCCTGGCGAACGCGAGTGAAAAGGCCACAAAGACCACGGCGGGCAGAGCGCCCTGCGAGAAGCTCCGCCGTGCTTCAGCAGGCAGCAAATCCCAGCAAATGCGGTGCACCGACTCGCCCTGCCCTCTGCTCGCAGGTGCCCCGCTGCAAGGAAGGGACGGGCTGGGAGCCCCGAGGGCCGTCGCCCACCCCCCGGCATCACAACTGGAGAGACTGACTCCAAGTCCCAGCAGCCCCTCCCCGCCATCTCCCCGGGGAAAACCAGGGCAAAACACACCGATCCCACGGTACGACCAGACCCTGAACAGCGCGACTCACCACCGCAAGCCCCGGCTCTAGCAGGGCCGTGACAGGTCCTGCGCCCCGCACAGACGCGGCACCGACGGCCCTCCCGAGCCCCTCGCACACCTGGGACCGGCCCCGACGCCGACGCACCAGCCTCGCTCCTCACCCACAGCGCTGCCCGCAATGACGGGACGGCCCTTCCCGGCTCCGGGACTGCCCTGGCCGTTCCCCCAGGAGCGCCCGGCCCGGTCCGACCCGCCAGGGGAGACCCGGCAGGCCCCGACCCGGCTGGACCCGGCTGGACCCGGCTGGACCCGGCTGGAGCCGCCGGTCCCGCAGCGCCGCCCGCAGCCGCCGGCCGCCCTCTGCGCACGCGCCGCCTCAGCAGCAACCACCGGGCGCCGCGGGACGGGGAGGGAGGCGCGGCTGTACCACTCGGGCGGGGGGAGCCTTGTCCTGTCCCTGCCCGAGGGAGCGCCGGGCGCTGGGGGTGACACAGAACCTTGCTCTCGCAATCTAGGCGACATTGATAGTAAAAATCTAATTTTTTACTAGGCATTGCCACTACATTTAGCTAGGATTATCCAGTTTCATTAAAGACATCAAGTTATGAAACGGATGTCAGTGGTGTTCTGCTCCATGATTCTCTTCATATTTGTGACAGCTGATGTTGTCATCCCAGTGACTCAGGCTGAATCTCCCGAGGTCACTGAAACTACCCCGGGAGGCTTCCTCGGCGTGTGACAGTCCCGCACCCGCAGTGCACTTTGTCTTCAGCAGGAGTGACTGGCAGGCACCCTGAATTTTGCCAGGGAAACGCTCGGTCCCACAACAAATCAGGTGATTCCTCAAAAAGAGTGACCAAAAAAGACAAAATCAAGCCACAACTTCTGTCACATGGAAAATTAGCCTAGAACAGCTGAAAAACCCGAGCTTACCTATGATGAGAGACCAGAGCTGGAAAATCTGCATCGGCATTCAGACGGGTTCTTGGTTTCCAGATGAGGGAGTGCTGCCATTCCCTGTGGAAAACTGGGTCCGGACACCACGGCAGGATAACTGGTCAGCAGGAGTTTTGTGCATTTGCTTTTAATTGCTCATGTGATACCAGGGTCTGCAGCAGACCCTGAGTGAATTCTGTGAAAAGTTAGTATCTGTTCGTATGCCACCTCAGTAGTTTTCATACAGGCAGCCAGCAACACCTGCTTGTTGGGAAAGTTTGGGAACAAAACCTACCTCTTGTGCCTTTTTTTAACGTGCTGGGTGAGGCACCTTGGCTCTGAGCTGCTCTGCAGACAGCCCAAAGCGACAGGAGGGCTCCGTGCCTACACTACCCGTGTGCCACTGAGGTGGGTCACAGGCAGAGCACACCTGCCACTTCCCTACCAGCAGTGTCAGGAGCACCCGGACCAGCAGCAAATGCTGGGCAACAAATTTCAGCCAAAATACTGATTTCGTACAGCAGGCATGGTCGAGTGACAGAGTTCCTAATGACAAGCTCTGGTAAATTGGTCTTGTAGATGGGAAGATTCATTTTTGCACAAAAGGGAGAATAAATTTGTTGCGAAGACTTGGGATATGTTTAGAGCCATTTACTAACACTGAAGGGGGAAAAGGACCACAGGGCCTGAGAGATATGAAGTAAAAAATCTGAAGAAGTTCTCACTTGAAAAGTATTTCCTAGCTGATAGTAGATATTCATTTATCAACCCCTGTTTGCTAGCAGGTGCCAGAGTTGTCCTAGCAGGTTCCCAGTTGTCCTGGGAAAACTGAAAATTATGATAAAGCTGATCAAGTGAAAGCTGTGAAGAAGTTTAAAGAAGTTTCTCTCTCAAGCAACATGATGGGACTTATGTACCAAGGGCATGTGTTCTTGCTTTCCCCAATGTTATTCTTTGCCAGAACTGTCTTTAAATAATTCCTTTAAGTTGTCAAGGAAGGAGATTTTTTAACTTTCATATAAAGAACTTTGACCATAAAGTCAAAAGCCAGATCACTGGCTGTTGTCTTTCTTGTGGATTTTCTTTGTTTTTGCTGCTTTCTCAAAGCAGTATTGCATCTTTTGGTTACTGGCAGCCATAGATGTGTTGAAATAGTTCAGTGTTACTTTCCGAATCTTCTACTAATACTACAACCATACTTAGTAACAGCTTTTTTATAGGTGTTTCAATATGATCACTTCAGGTATTTCAAAGTAATTCGTCCTGCAGTGAGGCTCATCTTCCACATTATGTCATATTAAATTCTCCCTTTCACAGACATTCTGTCTGGATGCCATAGCATGCCCTGTCCAAAGCTAAATTTCCTGTGTAGACTCTTTTGTTTGCTTGCTTTGTGGTCACAGCATCTTCAGAATGTCATGACTGGAAGAGCAAAGCACCTCGTGGCAGGGATCCCTGCCTGCAGTCTGGATTATCCACTCGCTCCTTATAGCTAAAAGCCTCTCCATACCAATTTGGTAGTGCTTACCTGAAGTCAAGAAATTAGTCTTTTTTCACTTTACAAAACATGTTTTGTTGCCTCAATGTCTACATCTATACATCCTCTACCATGTGGAGGCTGCCTTTTCCTCTGAAACAAGTGGTTGCATCCCTGCTGTGAATTGAAAACTATTTCGGTACACACTATTCCCAAAACGTGTATAAATGTTGCCTTTAGAAAGTAATTTTGACCATACTGCTGCTTCAAATGGACCCATGCCCAATTACCAGGAACCCTTTAGACAAATAGCAGTTAGTTCAGGTCAACCTTAGCATACCTTAGTGTCACAGTAATAATTAAATACTGCATGTGATAACAAATCAGTAGCTCTTCTGTTTCATTTACAAATACACAGATACCTGATGATAGTTGAAAATGATTTATTTAGTTTTAACACTTTTGATTTCATTATTCCCCAAGTCAAAGTGTCATGATACCAAGTCCTTTTCCCTGCTTCCTGTGCTTCCAGAGGCAGACTAGTCCCCTTTGGTGGTGTGAGAGCACCTAAAAGGTAGGCTTAGGAGATGGGTATGGGGGACACAAGACCAACCAGTGGCACCTTCAGTGAGAGGGGAGCCTACTCTTTGTGCAGAGACTTCAGGATGACTACAGTAGGATTTTATGTGTAATTGGTGGGAATACAGAATATGGCCAACCTGTGCTTCCACTGCCATTCACAGTGAGTTATGTGGTTTAGGACCAAGTTGAGAAAGGGGTTTCAAACCTATTATCAAATTAATCCATCCATTGCAGAAAACTGTTTGTACTGTAAACATTTGCCTTGGGCAGGTATTGGCAGAAAAGTCCACAATAAGCCTGTCTGAATTCTGCCTTATGCAGTGGCAACAGATGGGATTTCTCTCTCTGAAGAGACATGGTGTGGTGGGGCCAGAAGTTATCTGTAGCAAAAGAAAAGGGATGGAGATTGGAAGAAAACCTGCCTGATGAAGCTGTTCCCTGATCATTTTATAGCTCTTTGTCATCCTCCAAGTAGCATATGAAGGAACTCAAGTTACTGCCTAAGGTTATTTTCATTTATATTTTAATTCCAGAGTACCAAACACTTGTAGTCAGTGTATGAAGTTATATGATGATATATATGAATAAAACCTGAGCTGGTAATCTTCCTCATAGAGGATAAAAAGTCTACTACTAATTTAAAAGACAAGACCTCACTGACTTCTTAAAAGGTTTTAGCCCTCTGCTCCCAAAGTTTTAGAAAAGCTAAAAGCTAGCACACTTACAGACATTGATTAATGCAAATATGCACAACTTGTGCATATATATTACCTGTCATGTAATTCTGTATTTCAGTCACATGCTTCTTGAATTCTCTTTTTAAACTGAAATTTACACCTTCTGCACCTACTAATCTACAGTCTGGGTTCAAATCTGTGGGAGCTTTACTAGTTATTGTGAGAGCTTCGGTTCAAGTCTGTGGGAGGTTTATTGCATGCATGCCTCAAAGAAGGCTGTGGCAATACCAAATGTGTAATCTTGGTTTTTTCAATGCTTTACACACACTCTCAAAGTTCTTCTGATTCTTATCCAACAAGTACTTATGCAGTATTCCTAGATGCAAATCACAATTGTTAAAATGAGCACTTTGAACATGCTTGTTTAAGGCCTTTTTCCTCTTAGCTAGTAGGAAGTATACTTGACTTTTTTAGAAAACCTGTATTACAAGGCTTTCATGTGTGCCATGGATTCAGAATGTCTTTACATTGCATAACATGTTTATCTACCTAGACTGCTATGTTTTCCTCAGTACTGGGAGATCTGCACAAACTATTTTCGTATTTCACTTACAGTCAGTTTTAAATAAATTAATCAACTCCTTATGCTTCAGAACAGACAGTGAAAATAGTTGTCTTTAAACACTTGATATTCTTAAAATTTCAAACAGCTCCGATTTCCTGATCATCCACACTTTGAGCTACCAACTATGGGAAAGATCACAGCAATGAAACTGTCAGTTTCTGCCTGCTCGAATCTTTCCAGATAATGGAAGTAATATAGAAAAACTGGAGATTCTTTACTTAGTACCTCTCAAGGTTATCCTCCACTTCTGTTTGTGAAAATTACATGAAAGTGCTGGAGGTATACAACCACTGTTGAGTAGTGTTGGATAGCTCCGTTTCACTCCTAAAGCTCTGTTACATGTTGACAAAGTTCAGGATATTACTCATTCCCATGCTGAACCTGTGACATCTGGCCGTTTCTTGTCCACTGCTTAGCTGGACTACACCAGGTACAGCTTTTGGGCAATTATTTCTTCACTATTTCTTCTCTTCTCACTCTTTTAATACCATTTAAGGCAAGTTACCCTCTCCTTTTATTTTCTAATCCTAATTTATTTCTATTTTAATACATGACACTGTCAAGGTCCCTCTTGCTTGGTCTAACCCTTTGTGTCATGAATTTATCCAAATCTCCAATTCTCTCTTCTGCTGGCTCTACAGTTAATCTGCAAATAATAAGTCATTGCAGCTTCACCTTTTTTTTGTCCCTTTAAGTTCATACCTTACTCCATAGACTTCTTAGTCTCTTTCTGTTTTGCAAGCTTCCCTTTATATTCCGTGCACTGTAAGCATGTCTCTTGAGTCATTGCTAAAATATATTTAATCTTTGTTTTTTTTCTCCCTCTTTTCACTACTTCTGTCTAGTCAATGCCTCTTAATGGTCCTATCTGAGGATCTTCACCTTCTAGTGCCCAGAATCACTGGT